TGGAAATGCCCCTCAAACATCAAGTGGACAGATAAGCTGTGCAACAACCACACAATGGAATGCTGCTCAACAAAGTTAAACTACTAACAAACACAGCAACATAAACGATCTCCAACTAATTATGTTAAGTAAAAGATGCCAGACTCACAAGGCCACAACACTCTACGATTCCATCTCTATCACACTCCAGAAGCTAAATCCAAAGGTCAGAAGGTGGGCCCCAGCTGACAGTGGAATTTCTCAGGGTGATGACTGTTCACTGGTCACAGGACTTACATGCATTTCTTGAACTATATTTCAAAAATAATGTTTCTATACATAAATTATAGCTCCTCTAAAAAGTAACAAAATGAACTCAGAAACTAATATGCAAGAATGCAAACACAACAGAAGAGATACCCTTAAAATTACTACCTCCCCCCAAAACCAGACATCCACAGATAAGTAACTACACAGATAAAAACACGCACACAAAAACACATTATTTTTGAGAAAGGAAAAAAGTAGTAAAACATTTAAACTCAGACACATCTTATTTAATATCAAAGATAAAAATTAAAATATTCAAACTAGGAAAAAAAATGTACAGCAGGAGCACTAAGCAAGCATCACATTACCTGGAAGGGTTATTAAAACAGATTGCTGGGGCCCCAACAATGTTTATACTACACTTCCAGATGTTCTGATGTTTCTGAGTCCAAGGAACACACTTTCAGAACCACTGGTATGGGAATTATGGTTATAAAACACAATGGCAACACACACACACACACACACCCACACAAACACTCACACACACACACACACACCAGTATAACAAGCATCTGGCTAAAGGTGGCAAAACAAATATATGCATTAACCTATGATCTCTTGAGAGAACCTCAATACAAACAAAAATAAAAGAGATTTTAAAAAATGAAATTAAAGTACCAGAAAGAACTGGAAGATACAAAGTAGAAAGCAGTTAACTGTCTTCAGAGAATAAGAAAGATGAATTTTATAGCCAGCAAAGGTGACAAGCCAGCCACAAGGAGATGGGTTCAGCAGAATCAGCAAATAAACAGAAGGAACTGGCAGGACCTAGTGCCTCCATAGGAGACACCCCCAAAGGTATGGGTGAAAGCAGGATCCTTGGTTCAATGTCTTTTCAAAGAAAAGTCGTGACTACTAGGTTTCATTTCAATTCCTGCATAGCCAAGTAGAGGATCAAACAGAGAGGTCTTGACAGATAAACATCAAGTTAAGCCCAAAAAGGGATCCATACTAACAAAATACTGTCAACTTTATGTATGAAAGTGAGAGCCTCACCATTCTTGGCTCCATGGGAATGCTTTCCCCACAGCAAACTGGAAGAGTTCTCAGGACACATCAACTGCCCTACTACATACTGGCATCAACTTCTGTAACGAAATGGGACAACTAGACCGCTTCATTGTGAAAGTTCTACCACGCGCTTCTCGGTCTCACTCCTAAATAGTCCACAGAAAATTCTACCATGAAAAGAAATTCAACTATGCAAAGAAATGAAAGCGTAAAGACTTAAGGGTAGTGCTTCCAGGAAATAAGTGCCAGACAGCATGAAACAGGAAAAAGAAAAAAACTCAGGGTAAACTGAGCATGGTGTGTATGGCTGGAACCCCACAATACAGTGGACCCTTGACTTATTTATGAACTTGATCAGTTCCCAAGGGCTGGCTGTAACTCAAGTTGGTTGTAAGTCAATACAGCAGAGATCTGGATGTTTACCTAGATACACACAATGGATAACATGAGGCAGATGAATCTTCCATTAACTTAAACCCAACCTGTTCTTACGTCAGGCTGGTCCTAACTTGAGGGTCCACTGTACCTGGGGAGGCTGAGGTAGGAGGATCATAAATTCAAGCCCAGACTAGGGCAACTCACCAAGACCCTGTTTCAAAGTAAAAATTAGGAAATGGGCTTGGGATAGAGCTCAGTATAAAGCCCCTGGGTTCAATTCCCAGTACCAGGAAAAAAAAAAAAAAACAAAAAACAAAAAACTCTTGGTCTTTTGGTAATTAAAAATGTTAGAGCAAGGAACAGTTCTAAGACAGTAGTGCAAAAGTCCAATGACATAGAAAACAGGAAAGAAGAATCCCACAGTCTTGGTTCAGGAAGCACATAATTTGTGTAACTGAAAACAAAAACAAAAACAAAATGCACATGAAAGCAAACAAAACCAAAACGAAACAAAAAAACTAAAGAAATTCCACCAACCAGTGGGTAGAGGTGACACAAAAGCTTTCTAAATGATTTCCCAATGACCACTTTCAGCAACACTGCAAGTGAGATTACAAAAGAGCAAAGCCTTCCTAACTCTACAAAACTGGCTTCTGATTTAGCATTCTAGGCCCACCCCAGTATATTTCCTACCCTCTCTTCTCAAGGACCATTACACCAAAGCATAAGCCCAAACCTAGAAAAAGAATAAGTAACACAATAAAAATGGTTTCAGCACAGGAGAGGCAAGGTGCACCCTCTTATGAGTGAAAGTGAAATCCCGGATGAAAACAGTGACTATCAACACAGCCTCCTTTTTATCATGGGCAGATGCTGCTATGCACAAACCAAAATCCACTCTGTACAATGGCGTGGGAACTATAAGGTACTACTTAATACAGTGTATGTACTATGAAAACAGCTGTTAACTGAACTTCTCGGAGAATAACAAGTCTCTGTTCAGTACCAAGGCAACTGAGGGGAACTGTTTTAATTCCTAACTGGTGCAATACCTGTGAGGGCTGACGACGAATTACAGTAGATGTGGAGAAATGGAGACACAGCGTCCCAACCTAGATCAGGTACCACAGGCATTTGAATTTACTGGGAGACACAAAGAGCTGGGGAAGTCGGGTTACATTAGCTAAATACACAGATAACAAAACGGTAGTAAGGCCAATGAGCACAAAAAGTTGTGCATAAGGGGAAAAGTGATTGCATATTACAAGGCTAAACTGTGAAGCACTTTACCCAGTAATTAAAAAATAAAACTATTTACATGCATACGATGGTTTTAGATACATTAACTCACTTAAAATAGTCACAACGTTTAACCAAAATTACAAATGCCATAGAAAGAGAAGGGGTTACAATGAAGGCATATGTATGATTTTGGTGGGGGAATGGGATAAGCACCAGCTGAAATCAAATACAGCTGCTAAGCCTTCCTCTCTCAGAAGGCAGAACTAAAACAGACAACCAAAAGTCTCCCTCAAGTCACGAGTGACAGTATGCATATTATTTATAAATACTGATACCTATTTAAAGAAACGTTGCCTCCAAGAAGTGAAAATATGAGTGGCGTGTTGTTCTTCCTGAGTCACACAGAATTATGCGTATGTATAATTTTGAATAAATTGTTACAATTAATGAGCTAGGGTGTAGGAGAATGGTGAATACGCTCCCACCTTTCATATCAGTGTATGTAAAATTAAAACGTCCCTTAAAATTTACTGCAATGTTTTAGAGTCTTTTTTTCTTGAAGTTAGGAGAAGTTATCTCAGTCACAGCATTACTGACATTCTCAGAGGAATATTCTTTCTCGCTGGAGGCTGCCTTATACAATGTAGTCTATTTAATAGCACCCCTGGCCTCTACCTATAAGATCCCAATGGCTCCCATTCATCTCAAGTAAGGACAATGAAAACTCTGCAGACACTGCTTAAATATCCAGGGGCTGAGACAGGTGTAAAATCATGCCAGCTGAAAATCTCTATTCTGGTATCGCCTCCTTAGAGAGATGGCTTCAGACTCACCTCCTTGAGTACTATCTCTTGACTAAGAAGCATTTATTTAACATTCAGCAATTCCTTAGTTATTTCTTTTGTCTGCATGTAGAAAAGATGGATTTCTATAAAATACGGCAAAAAAAAAAAAAGGAAAATTCAGAAACAGACAAGCACACAAGTAAAGAAAGGGAAAAGAGTAATTCAAATTATCCTTTAAATTCTTAGATCAGCCATTAGGACCCAGAAGAAGAGCAACCTTTGCTACCCAGCTTCTTTATCTATCAGAGACGTAATTATCATATGTAAGAAAACTACTGGTTACTAAACTGTTCAATATATCTAGGTATTGAAGTAACTAAAAGTTAGTTTTATCAAGGACATTCTACTCAACAAAAGAAGCAATCTAAGGTGTAAGAGTATTGATGAGAATACAATTGTTCCCCACTAGTAGTGCTCTCTAAAACTATTTTCCTTCTGACTCAAAACGCATACATACGAAAAATTTCCTTAAAACGTTTCCCCTCCTTCTAAATCTCTACTATCTACAAACTACACTATACCCATTTAATAACTGGGTCAAATTCTGACGTTACAAAATTAAATTACATAACATCTTAGCAAAAATCCAGGAAAACCACCTTACAATAATCATGTATTAATTTTGAACACTTTTTATTGCATTAAAATTGCCTCCTTTAGATACAAGAGTCAACAGATTCAATCAGATTATCTTCATATCTTACGAGATAAAAATACGACAGTCAAGAAACAGCCCGAGCAGAGAGCACACCCACACAGCAGCAAAGCCCTGACACGCGTGCTTTCCGTCAAAAGAGCCTCGGCACCACAGCCGCGCGCCGACCCTTCCCGGAGAAGCGCAGGGACCCCGAAGGCCATGAAGCCGAGACCAGGGCCAAACTCGGAGGAGGGCCGCGCGGAACAAAGAGGTCGGGCCCGCGCTGCCGCAGTCCGCGGGGACGGAAGTACTGCCGGCCCCGCAGGGAAACGGGCCGGAGGCTGTCGGG